ACTTGAATTTTACTGAGAGCAGATTCATAGTGTTTCATAGCAGCAAGTATTTGCACATTTTTAATGGGTGAGTCTGTCAAAAACACATCCTGGTCATATTTCACCCCTAAATCAAAAGGAAAAATATTTATGTATATTGAACAAAGACTATAAATCTTCCCTCCAAAATCCTTATTATCGTAATGCATGCCGATGTTTTATTTCTGAGTTTTTTTTTTTGTTGTAATGTCTTTATAGTGTAGTATTGAAAACAATTTGATGAGATTTTTTTTCTTTAAGTACTCTTCACAGAATACAGTACAGTTTATTATAATGAAAATATACATAGAAAAATTGTGAATTGTAATGTTCAATATTACTAGCCTACAGAACTGATTACGCTGGCCTGCAGACTACACCCAAGATAACATGTTTTTCTTTAATATTTTGAAAACAATATTAAATGTTGTTGATGTTATGTATTTATAGATAAGTTTTATCATTTTGTATATTAAGAGAGAGTGTACAATTTTTTATTTATCACTTATTTAATGTGATTGTGATCTGTGTAACTATTAAGTTATTTCAGAGAAAAAAAAAAGAATTGGTTTGCAATATTTTTTTGGAAATGTTCTAATATTTTTTTAAATGTTTTAATATTTTTTGTTTATTTAATTAAATTTTTTGGGACAAAAAAATTATACAACTATGTGAAAGACTACTTGTGCTCACCAAGGATGCATTTATTTGATGCATTTATTTATTTTAAGTTTTAAATATATATATATATACACACACACACACACACACCAAAAAACAGTAATATTGTGAAACATTACAATGACTACTTGTGCTCACCAAGGATGCATTTATTTGATGAATTTATTTATTTTTATTTTTTAATATTTATATATACACACACACACACACACACACACACACACCAAAAAACAGTAATATTGTGAAACATTACAATGTTTTATATGTAATTTATTTTTATATTATTTGTTTTTGCAATTAATAAATGTAAATGTTACTCCAGTCTTCAGTGTCACTTGATTATTCATAAATCATTTTAATAAGGTTTGGTGTTCAGCTTCACATTTATTGTTATTAACACAGTTATGCAGCTTAATATGTTTGAAGTAACCGTGATACTTTTTATTTCAGGATTCTTGATTAATAGAAGTATCAAAAGAACAGCATTTATCTAAAACAGAAATCGCCGGTAAGTGTTTTTACAGTCATCAATTGAATGCGTCCTTGGTCAATAAAAGTATTTATTTCTTTAAAAATCATGTTACATGTAGAATATTTTAGCATGTATTCCACAAATTAAATGTGAAATTATAAAATTGTCCTGTAGAAGTTTACATACAAATGTTTAAATACTATTGTTTTTATAATGTGTTTCCTCCTTGAGCATCATTGACTGCTTGTAACTTTTAGGATCGCAACATCATGAAGAACTCAAACACACAGTGCTTGCAACCTAATCAAAGATCTTACAGGACCTGGAGGCTTTCTGTGAACAAACACTAGGCAGGATGGTACAATCTTTAAAACCAAGGTATGTAAGCAAAATTATTTCAGTTGCTATTTTGACTTGGTCAGTAGTGCATGTTTTTTTGTGTCAATATGCTTCCAAGGAGAAGGACTGAACTGAAAAAAAAAGCCTTTATGATGACTTATTAAACTTATGAGTCCATTTTTATTCATAGATTCACATCTAAGTTTTTCTAACCAATAACTGTACCCAAATGCTGATTATAATGACACAGGGTCAGAATGTTTCCCTCTCTGATCAGCTCTTGTGGCATCAGGGTTGCCTAGCAGCATAGATTGATCATGGCATTGGCCGGCACTTGTATGAGTGGTTTCTTTGACGACAGCCGTCCTGATCTGAGTATCTGTGAGTCAGCATTTGAGGGCTTGATGCCGTGTGCCGGGCCGAGGACTGAGAGCAGGGCTGTGATCCAGCTGCTTGAAGGATTTGTGATGAATGACGTGAGTAGTGGTTAGATATTCTGAGGACAAGACGTACAGAAGACAGTGTGACTCTGATTCATGGAGGTCATTAATGACAGTGAAGTTTGAAATGTTTTCTTCTTTGACTTTAAAGAGAATTGAGAATTGATGACACAAACATAAAACAATTCTAATGAAGTGTGTGTGTATTATATGTGACCCTGGAGCACAAAACCAGTATTAATTTGCACGGGTGTATTTGTAGCAATAGCTAACAATACATTGTATGGGTCAAAATTATTGATTTTTCTTTTATGCCAAAAATCATTAGGATATTAAGTAAAGATCAAGTTCCATGAATATATTTTGTAAATTTCCTACCGTAAATGTATCAAAACTTAATTTTTGATTAGTAATATGCATTGCTAAGAACTTAATTTGGACAACTTTAAAGGCAATTTTCTCAATATTTAGATTTTTTTGCACCCTCAGATTCTAGATTTTCAAATATTGTCCTATCCTAACAAACCATACATCAATTTATATTATATTATACGTATATACTAGTATTTCTTATTTTTAAGATTTTGAATGTTTTGAGTATCAGATTTTCAAAGTGTATGTTAAAAACTAATAGTACTCTAACAAATACTAATAATACTATACATTATTTATTTATAATATAGTATTTATACAATAATTTTCTTAATGATATATATTTGTTTTATATATGTGTGTGTGCGTGTGTGTGTGTGTGTGTGTTTGTATTTAATATATATGTATATATATAGAGAGAGAGAGAGAGAGATGAATTATCAATTTATACAAATGTGCATATTATATTGTATACTAGTATTTGTTATTTTTAAGATGTTAAATTCTAGATTTTCGTGTGTTAAAAACAAATAAAACTACTGTAATTATGTACATTTATAATACCAGAAATATCTATTTTATTCATATTTGATTTTTTAAATATTTATTTTAGCTATTATATTATATGATGTGTGTGTGTGTGTGTACGCAAAAATGTGTGTGTGTGTGTGTGTGTGTGTGTGTGTATATATATATATATATATATATACACACACATGTATGTAAATATAAAATTTCACTTTATTTCATTAAAGTGAAATTACTGAATATACACATAGGAGCCTGAGAAAAATGCTCATTTTAAAAGAAAATTTCAAATGGCACTTAGAGGCTTTTGCATCTGAACTCTTCATATATATAAACATATATATATAATTAAGGGTTTTAAATTCCATATTTCCAAAGTTTATGTTAAAAACTAATACAAAAATTTAACATCAAATCAAAGTGTCAGTTATGTGATTGGTTGAATGGTTCAGATAACTAGCAGGGATAAGAGTTTGGTCACATCACGTGTTTATTGTTTGAGCTGGGTCATCACAGTACTCTCACAAGCTAGTTATCAATTGTTAGAGCACGTGAATCCCTGTAACCTACTGGCTTTGTAACTGATCGATTCCTCTGTTGTGCCTCTTCATGCAGTCTTCATATCTCATTAACCACAGACAGAACAAGGGGCACGTTTGACCTTGTACTGAGGTTGTGGGGCCAAATTCTGACCCAAACACAAGTATGAGCACCCAGTGACCCATAAATCCCTTTTTTAACACATCAACACATTTAATTTTTCCTGCTACAAAGATATTATATACACATTTTCTAATTATAAGTACAGAAGACATCTAGAGAGATGTTTTGCAAAATGTTATGTTCTGCAGATGAAAATGAACTACATTTAATCAGCCATAGTAATGTAGAACAAATGACTTTTTGAGCTATAGTTAATCCTAATCACAGATTTCTTATTATTTAACTGACAACAGCTTGTCAATAACAAAGACTCTCATTATAGAAGAGCAATACAGATGGCCAGATGCCTTAAAGAGGCTAAGTAACCCTGACTGCAGATCTAGACCATGTAATCAACTAATTAAACCTCCAACTTTAATCTAGTGTCTTTGCAGTAATTGTTTTTGTGCTGTTCTGAGGGCAGTCTCAAAATAAAGCATGTGTGACCCTGGACCACAAAACCAGTCATAAGGGTCAATTTTTCAAAAGAAACAGGGATTCTTGGCTGGAGTGGTTCTGCTAAACACTGTGGGATGAGTTGCTAATGAACTCCACTGGACAATGTAACGGACCCCCACGGATGTGGGCCTGTTGCGTAACAATGATAGAAAGTTGCAGAACAAAGAAGCTCTAGAAGAACGTTATCTGCTAAACACTGTTTATCATCCACTTCTGGATATTTCCATTATATTATCCGGTGTTATTCGATCAGCAAATCCCATCTCAAACAGAATTAGCCTATTCTAGAAACCTTCTGGAACAATTCTTGTTGATTTTTTTCATAGTTATTGTCCTCTAACATCAAGTAAATTCTACAAACACTACATTTGCACAGAATGAGTTCAGAAACATCATTCATATTTTTACATAATTCATATTATGCAGTAGGCAATATGAAATGAGTATTTGATCATTGTTACTGAACAACGATTTTAATTCTGTTTATCTATATACAATATTAATATTTTATTATTTAATATGAATAAACAGAATTATATGTGTGTGTCTGTGTCTGTGTGTGTGTGTGTGTGTGTCTGTGTGTATTATTATATCATATTATATAAAGAAGACATCTAAAATAAAATATACATTTTTAAGCCAGCTTTGCAAAAAAAATATTTCTGTTACACACTTTATAAACAAAACCAGGCCTAAATTACTGTACATAAAGTGGCATCATCAAATGCAATGATATTTTAAATTTTGTCCAAATACTGTTTGAGGCCACTGTATATGTAGTTTATTATGGATAGGCCTGTATGTTGTTTTATGATATTAAAACTGTATAGGATATAAAGTTAATATATAAGATGCTAAAAGCACATGGTGTTACACAAATACATATTAAACGCATACATTCATATTGTGTTCATCTGCTGTTGAGGGGATCAGGGGCGGGAGGCGTCCCTCTCCTAATCTTCTGAGGGGGTCAGAGAGTATAAAGACCTGTAACCCCTGCACCGCTCCCAAAGAAAGCCGAGCGTTGACATCCACCCCTCCACAGGAGAGACATACATAAGAAACGGTGCAGCTGCACCCAGTCAACAGCCTGTCAATCAACAAACCTGTGAGTGCAACCTTAAAATATTTAAATATCCATAAGGAATGAGTTGTTTTGTAATATGCTGTAACAATGTGGCTGAAAATATACAATGTGCCAAAAGGTCATAATGCTCTAAGGTATTATGGGTCTTGAAGAGGATTTGACTGTACACCATGCTACTTATTATATGGGTACTTATTGAATAGTATGAAATATTGATTAGAGTTCAAATATTATGTGAGATAAAATGGACCATAGATTTGTATAACAGACATACAAGGTTGCCTGGGATAAGTCATTTGTACAGTTTATTGATCATTTTGCATAACCACAGAATGCCATAATTGGCCAAACAGAATAATCTAGGAAGTTGTATAATTATATTTATACAATATATCTGTAAAGTAAAATTTAAACACTTTCAATTGAACAATTTAAATTAATCATAAATGGATTATTTTTATTAACACTGTTTAACTGGATAGGCCATATTCACTGAAAAATGTGCTTAATATATTGTTAAATATTGTGTTTAATTAAATTTGTACTGTAGTAGTATTGTTTATATATATATATATATATTTGTGTGTGTGTGTGTGTATACAGACACACACACACACACACACACACAAATTATCCACTGAAGATTCATCTTTAACATTTATGCATGTTTGTTGTTTAAAACATATGAAAATATGCAAACCATTGTCTTTTTTTAATATAAATATAATGTTGTGAATATGATGTTAACAGAATTCATTATTGTTACCTCAGTTTCAAGAAAGAAAGAAAGAAAGAAAGAAAGAAAGAAAAAGATAGAAAGAACAATTGTGCAACAGGCATCATTGCCATTGTCTATTCCCATTAATCTTTGAGGAATATACCCGAAGGTCATATTTTGACTCTTATCTTTTCTGTTTGCTCAGCATGTTTGGTGTTATCCCTGCTCTAATAAGATTAACCCAAATGCAGATTGCCACCATTGGGATGGGGGACATTTATTAATCCAAGCTCTGGATTACACAAAATGGGTCACCCTACCCATCACACTTTCCCCGAGCTCATTTCTGGGAGCACGGGCCATGTTAGACATTCAATTACAGTGGAATATGTATTTGGATTTGTGTATAACTCCTCAGTAAGAGGATTATGGGTATAGTTTTCTCAGTCTGGGGTGGCTGCCATAGATATTCATTAGCTGTCGGTTTGACCTTGCAATTACTGTAACCTTCCTGGCCTAATGTGTCATTTAAAAATCTGTGTGTTTTTATGTGTCATAAAGTCCTCCACAGTACATTTTCTTTCCAGAATGAAGCTAAAATCAATTTTATAGAAAAATCAAAATGGCATTGGGTGTGAACTATAAACTCACTCCAGTCTTTCTGGTGTATTTACATTAGCACTACATCACGGGGAGCGAATACGAAGAAAAGCGACCAACGGTGACCAGCAGCCATGAATCTTGAGCCGCCCAAACCAGAGATCAAATCCGCCACCCGTGTCACCGGTGGTCCTGCCACACCACGCAAAGGACCACCCAAGTTCAAGCAGAGGCAGACTCGCCAGTTCAAGAGCAAGCCACCAAAGAAGGGTATCCAAGGGTAAGTTAGACAGTAAAATCATTATTGTAAAGGCTTTGTGATATTCCACACTTCAGTCATGCTTTATTACACTAAGAATAATTAAATCTGTGCATATTCAATAATTCTGCAACATGACTTCAAAAAATATCATGTATTTTAAAATAGGCATCTAATTGAATTTAACATCTATTTTTATTTTATTTTATTTTTAATAGTTTCGGAGACGACATCCCTGGCATGGAAGGTTTAGGCACTGGTAAGTTTAATCTGCATTTCTCCTCACGTGTTTTGCCTTCATGACAATATCACCTACCATTTATTCTAAGCTGTCCTCGTCTGAAATGATTAGTCTGATCATTCAGTGCATCATCAAACATCCCATATGACATTAGGACATCACTGTGATTAAACAGACGTGAATGCTAGCTGGCCTTCAAGCTGCTTAAGTTAACCCTTTGATTGATAGATGAACTCATGTTCCTGTGTTTCTACCTACAGACATCACTGTCATCTGCCCCTGGGAGGCCTTCAACCATCTGGAGCTTCACGAGCTGGCTCAGTATGGTATCATCTGAGCCTGTCACCTTCCCATCATCCTCTGGGCAATTTAGACCCTTTCCTGTCATGTTCCCCAAACCACCTGCCTCCATCCTGGCCATCGTCTCCATGTGGACCGTTCCAACTTTTATAACAGAATAAACACCAAAAACCGCAACATTTATAAAAATGGAAAAACTACGAAAAATCAACATCAACAAAAAGAAAATCTGTCTTACTATCTATCCCACCGGTTTCTTTTCTTTCTTGCAGTCCAAGAACACGTTCTGCTCAAACTATAGAACAGAAAAGTCTATACGATCCCGTCAGATCATATTCTGTTTGCCTAGAAAAACTGCTGCTCTTTTCTTTGCTCTCTTCTTCTTTTTCTACTCTCCCTCCCTGTTTTCTTCTGGAACACAAAACATACGCAAGCAAGACAGCCTCAGAGTGAGTTAAAGCAAGACACGTGCCCGTGAAATGAATGGCTTCTCATTTCACGTGCTTCGGTGCCTCCTCTGTCCACCTTCGCCGAGTTCATAAGAAAAGATCGAAATCCTGTAGAGATGAAACACTCTGCTGGCCGACATTAGATTCCCAAAACTTTATTTCATCCCATTATTTCCCCATCAAGGTAATAATTGCTGATTTTAATGCTTCGACCTTTTCAGTCCCTTGTACTTTTTTGTGTGTGTGTGTGTGTATTCTGTGTAAGGATACCCTCAGGAACCGTGTATCATGTTTGCTTTGTGCTTTGCAACCCCTTCATTCAATGCATTTATATGTTAGCACACATACAGGCACAATTTCATTTTTGGCTATAATTTTCGGTTTCAGTAAGTCTCTCAGGTGACTGTTATGGAACAGTTTTGGGCTGTCATGTCTTGTGTTTCTTTCATCCGTGATCATTTTGTATAGTGTTTTTTTTTTTTCTTTTCATCGCCATCGTCTGTCATCCTCATCATCACACTCCTTGTTATCATTGTGCCCCACTTTAGTATCATTTCTATCTAATGTATTCATTACTTTCCATTTGTATATTTCATTGTAAAATATTATTCATTATAATTTAATCTATTCATTTAAATGTCCTGTATCTTTCATAGATTTATGAGTTTCTTTCACTTAATTGGTATTGTGTCAAGTATGTGTTTATTTCCCTATGTTTATGTTTGTTGCATGCTCTATCTTTCACTATTTTGTTTATGTTCATTCATTCATTTGTTCATCCATTAGTTTAGTCACATTCTAGATTTTTCATTTAGTAAGAAAAGCCGATTTCCTGCAGAGTCAGATCCTCATGTATCCAAATAATACATCCAAAGTAAATTCTATGAAAAGATGTGGTTTGCACAAGCATGAACATATGTTAATTTTTGCACAGATCCTTTATATGTGTTAGGACTGTGTGTCCTTCTGAATCCTTAAGTCTTGAGTGAAGTTCTTCTGTGTTGTTTAGGCCTGTATTTTGCAGATATGGGGTTTCAGGCTGAACATGTATCCATTTTGAGAGCATGTTTGAGGGTTGACAACATCAGTGACTAAAGTGAAGATTTCTCTCTACGGGATGAGATCAAAATAAAGCTTGAAAAAAAGAGAAAAAATTATTTGCCTGTTTTTTATGCCTATACAGGGCTGTACGTTAACTTTTTTTTCACATAGCACTGGTGCTACAGAGGTTGAAAGTTTTGTAGCACAGGCCAAAAAGTTGTAGCACAAGTATAAAACGTCTGTTATCATGTCTGAAAACAAACACAAGTAATGGAGTTCATCACTTAAACAGGCACTGATGTTCCATACAGAGCACAAAAAAGCAGATGGAAATAATGTAGTTTTGTGATTGCGCATAAGTGCAGTGTCCCGTGAGAGTAACTCTACCGCTGAGCTAACACTGATGTGAATGCATGTGGCGTTGTACATTATATTGAGACGGAGGGAGGCACCAGAACTGCAGCTGATAGAATGTGCGCTGTAGCAGATCGTGGAGACATGCAAAAATCGTCATATCGCACACCCCTAACTACCAAGTAGCCTATAATCAATCTAACACACACAAACAAGCACAACGAAATCACTTCACACTATTAAGCGGCTGTGTTATGAACATGCAAAACTCTATCGCACGCGTGCTACAGTGGTAAATTTATTCATCGCACAGACCAGGTTTTTCGTAGCACGTGCGACATATATGTCGCACTGTACAGCCCTGCTATATGATATTATTACAGTCAATAAGCTGGGAAAGGAAAAAAAAACATTGTTTTTAATGGTAATATAAAATGTTCGAATATAAGGCTACAAGCCAAGGATTATTATAATTTTTTTTTTCAAATGTAATGCATTAGCTAATATTTAAAGAATCAACCACCTGGTGAATAAAATATAAACTTGTATAAAATATAGTTAAAGTCAGTGCTGAAATATTTTATTTGTTCAGAGAGTAGTTTTGATTTCTACTTGTACTTGGTGTTGAATGCAGTGTAATACAGTGTGGCTGTTCAAAATATACATTATATAAGCAAGGTATATTATAGATGTTTTCCTAAAGCCTCAGGATAATTTCTAACTAGTCAGTTCCACCACCAATAAGCATGCAAATGAAGAAACAGCAACAACAACAAAAACAACAATGAAAAACAGGTTAAATTAGCCTACGGTGTAAATAAGATGTCACAGAAGAAAATATATTGATACAATACATCTGCATAATCTCTAGATGGAAAATTCCACAGCAACAAAAACCATGTATATAATTTTAAAAAAAATGTGTTGCTGTAAGTAGTTTCTTATTTATAGAATAAAATAAAACAATACATACAATCTCTAAAAATAAACGGACATTTACAGGAACACAACATTTAACTCTTTGTTTCTATCCGGTGACGTTAAGCAGGATCCCGTCATAGCCCGGACTCATATAGATGTAGCACCGGCTCTATGAGTTTGGCATCGCTGCATAGGTCCGAGCAGAATATATAAACAGCGATATTAAAATACGTCAACTTTCATTTCAGCGACATCAAGAGGGACGGTTCATCCCATCAACATGGCGGAAAACATAGTAAGTGTCAGTCTGCGTGTGTATATCGGTAGTTTGAGTGAAGTCTGTCATCCAGTGATGAGGCAGCAGAATTGTTAGCATAATGCTAATGATCAGACTCAACCAGAATCGTCTAGAAACGCATTGAATACAAAAAAAAAAAACATTTATGTGTGTGTTTACAACACATCTGACTTATTTACCTTATAATTTGCAGCTGAGGTTTATTATTTCTGCTGTGGTTGACTTTACTTGGCACAGGTTGATGCATTGACGCATCTCGTCTTCATGTCAACTACTTATTAAAGTCTAGATGCTGAATTTCATCTTAATAAATAGCTGAGGTGTTAAGATCGAAGGTAATATGATTGTTTAGCTTCCGTGCTTCTTATAGTTGTATATGTTGGAAGTGAAATGGCATTGAGTATCTTATTAAAGTGCTTTGAATGACACATGATGTTTTGCTTTGGTTTTTGTATTAAGAAAAAGCAGTGAGAGCATGAGAGTAGCTCTGTGTTAATATAATATTATGTCATTCAGTGAGTTGTTTGGACATGGATTCGTGTGGCATGCATACCCTCTGCGACAGTTTATTGAACGTCAAATGTCAATGGTCTGCTCTCCAACCACCTGTTTTCTCTTATTCATACTGGCTTGTTTTGATGATTTGTAGTTGAGCTCTCATCTTGTTTCAACTTGTAACTTCTCTGTATGAGTAATTCTGTGCTAGATCTGTGTGAGAAACAAGCATATGATTGAACAACAAACATACCTGTTGTAGTAACCATAAACTTACTTTCCCTTCCCTTATGTTTATTCATTGACAGATCATCCGTGTCCAGTCTCCAGAGGGAATGAAAAAAATCACCTCAACAAAACGTGAGACAGCTGCAGGTTTCCTCAAGAAGGTATAAGGAACCTCACTCTGTGATATTATTTTCTTTCTCATATATTGTACAATTATCTTATTTAAAACCTTTTAATGACAGTAGGGCACACACACATTATGTATATATGTGTGTGTTGTGTATATGCTATATACAGTAGTCAACATTTGAAGTGGATCAAAAAAGTTCATCAAAGTTGTCCTAAGACAAGAACACATTTTGGTTTTAGGACAACTTGGATGAAAGGTTTTGATCCACTTCAAATGTTGACTACTGTATATATTAGCAAGGAAGCATTTAATTTTTAAAAAAGTGACAGTAAAGACTTTTATAATGTTAAAAAAAATTATATTTCAAGTAAGTTTAGTTATTTTTAACTTTCTATACATCAAAGAATCTTGAAAAAGCATTAAGCAACGTTTCCACAAAATTATTAACCAGCACAATTGTTTTCAACAATTGATAATAATAATAAATATTTCTTGATTGCCAATTCAGCGTATTAGAGTGATTTCTAAAGTGTCATGGCTTTGCTATCACATGAATAAATTGCATTTTAAAATATATTAAAATGCAAAACAAATATTTTTAATTATAATTATATTTCTCAATATTACTGTTTTTCCCAATTTGGGGCCAGTTGCATAAACGTAGTCACTATGTAAGACTGTGTCTTAAGAACTAGTTTCACCAACTAGCAATAGACAAGGGGTAATCAGACTTATTTTTCATATGCAAATTAAACCAATCTATCTTTTTTGTAACCGAATTTAAAAAGTTATGACCGGTCTTGAAGAAAAAAAATATATTCTAAACAGTTTATGCAACCAGCCCCTGGTGAGACTTGGTGAGCATAAGAAACTGCTTTCAAAAACATCAAAAAAGTCTTACCAACTCCAAATTTTTAAACAGTAGCATATAATATATTTCCTCCAAAAATGGAATATAACATTTATCAAACAGCCTTTGAAGCTGTGGATTAAAAATAGTTTAGTGCAAGAAGAAAAAAAATCATGTAGCAAACTCATAGAATAAGTATTAAATATACTGTCAAATTAATTTTCTCCTTTCTCTATAGTTATGACAGAGGTGTTACTATTCACCCCAGATAGTATCCATTGTCATGCCTCTGCACTTATGCAGTGGTTACATTCATAGCCTGTCTGTGAAGAAGCTGAGAATAACACTACAACAAAAGCACAGCATCAAATCCTGTGAGTTCTTATAAAGTGGCGGCACAGACTCCTGTTCCTGCTGAATGTTGATTTATTAATGAGGCGGCTCTGAAAAAGGAGACCTATGTCCATACGCTGCAGTGACACACATTTCTGCTGTGGTGCAAAGCTTGATGGGCGGTGTGCTTGCAGCAAATTCAGGAATGAACCAGGGCTTGTGGCCAAAATCCCATTGAAAGTGACCAAAATGCCTCTAATATAAAATGTAGGGCCTTTATAGTTTATTTCTATTTTTTTATTTGGTATCTAAAAATGGCTATATTTCATAAAATTATATTTCTAGGTCTGACTTAGTTGTATGTTTAGTAGAAAAGTAGTAGTAGGTAATCAATATTCAAAATAATTCAGTAGTTACCTTAATGTCAATCTTTGACCATTATGCCATTTGGCAGGGTAAATTGTAGTATAATAGAAGTCTTAGAGGATGTTGGTAGTTTAAGGTGCTGAAGGCTCTTTTGAGACGGCCAGAGGGTTTGTGTTTGCCTGATGTAGACACTGCAGGGCCCATTAAAGATTCATGTCTCTCAGCAGGAGGGTGGAGAGTGAGTCGGCGATCAATTGAGACCGTCTCACAGTTTGATTTTGGGATTAAATGGCAGGAAAGAGAACTCTAGCTTTGAAAAATGTGTGCTTGTTCATCTTGTATTCTGGTGCATGGATTAAAAGAAATGCACACTGTATTTTTAAAAAGGCCTCCATGTTGAACGTTATTAACAGGGTAGTATGTTACAGTTAAAAGTTAAATTTAGGACACAGTGCCCTGAGTGACCAGTAAAAGCTTTTGCTGATTGGATTAGTAAAGATATCGGTCTTCTGCTGGGTTTTCGGTTGCCTAATGGACAGTCATTTGGACATGATGGATCAATTTGTTTCTGAGACTGCACTTTTTTAGAGTACTGTTCTCAATTAGGCTATCTTGTTACCAGAACCACCTCATAGTGAATTATATCTAGTTTAAATTCGGAACAGCCTGTCGAGCTACGAATGAGTTCACTTTGGACAGGTGTCCTATGAAATGAGTTATAAGTGAGTGTAGTGTAGGTGCTTTTAGATGAAGAATTTAAAGACTGGATTTGCTATGTCAGTGGCATCACATCTTTGAAAGATGCATTGTTTTCCTGTGTACATTCTACTAGTAGACTTTCCACTAGATTCAGTAGCTTAATAATTGGTTAATAGATTTTCCATTGCATATGTATAAAGTGTTTGAAAATGAGGAGTGTATAATCTTTTTTTTTTTCTTGCACCATCATCTCAAATACTTTCTTTTCCTCTTTCTCTCATGCACCGTACTCTCATAACTTCATTAGAGTTTGAGCAATCTCTGAAAGACAAACAGTCTTTACACATTTTGAATGTCTGTATTATTTAACATGTCTACATTTTATCAGCTTATTAGTGGATGCTCCAAAACAGGGATAAGAGAAATGGAC